TGAGATACTCACATGATTTTTAGCCTTTATTTTTAAATGGCATATCACATTGGATGATCTATGAATAGTCAACCATCCTTGCATTTCCAGAATAAATCCTGCTTGATTGTGGTAAACGATCTTGTTGATTTATTGTTGAATACAGTTTGCTAATATTATGCATTTTTGCATCTATATTCAAGGATATTGGCCTGTAGTTTTCTTTTTTCATGGTGCCTTGGTCTGGTTTTGGTATCAGGGTAATGCTGGCCTTGTAGAATGTATTTGGAAGCTTTCCTTCCTATTCCATTTTTTGGAATAGTTTGAGGAGAATATGTATTAACTCTGTGAATACATCTGGACCTGGACTTTGATTTTTTGGTAGTTTTTGATGACTGATTCAATTTCATTACTAGTAATTGGTCTTCTCAGAGTTTCTATTTCTTCCTAGTTCAGTTTTGGAAGATTGTTTCTAAAAATTTATCCATTTTGGAAGATGGAATCTTAACTCACTTGTCTGGTGCCTGGTCTGGGACTACCAACAATAGCACCAACATGTGACCTCTCCATGTAGCTTGGCCTTCCTCACAGCATGGCACCTCAGAGCTTTCACATGGCAGCTGAAGGTTTCGGTCCCAAATGTTAGAATCAATAAGACAGCAGCTAAATCACCTTTCCTGACCTAGCCTCAGAAGGCACAGTGTCATTTCCACCATATTTTGTTGGTAATCTAAGAGTTACACATCTGTACAAGTTCAAATGGATGGGATATAAACTCCACCTCTCAAAATGAAGAATGTCAGGGGCACCTGGGTGGCTCAGTCAGTTAAGCAACTGACTTCGGCTCAGGTCATGATCTCACGGTTTGTGGGTTCAAGCCCTGCATTGGGCTCTGTGCTGACAGCTCAGAGCCTGGAGCCTGCTTCGGATTCTGTGTCTCCCTCTCTCTCTGTTCCTCCCCTGCTCACTCTCTGTCTCTCTCTGTCTCTCAAAAATAAATAAATGTTAAAAAAAAATTTTTAATGAGGAATGTCAAAAATATTTGCAACCATTTTTTAAAAACTCTAGCATTCATAGCTACATAGCTCTAAAATATTTATCTCAAGCCCAGATCTCTAGACTTTTATATCCAATTGCTCTATATTTATATATCAATTGCTTATTGTACTATCATCACTACTAATAATAGCAAATGAAGAAGTAAAACTGTCACTATTTGCACATGATATATATTACACATAGAAAACCTAAAAGACTCCATCAAAAAACTGTTCAAAGTAATAAGCGAATTCAGTTGTTACAGGATACAAAATCAATACACAAAAATCTGCTGTGTTTCTTTACACTAATAATTTGAATGATCAGAAAGAGAAATTAAGAGACTAATCCCATTTACAGTTACATCAAAAAGAAGTAATACTTAGGAATAAATTTAACAAAGGAAGTAAAAGACCTGCATATCGAAAGCCACAAGACAATAATAAAAGAAACTGAAGGAAACACAAATAGATGGGAAGATATTCCATTTTTGTGGATTAGAAGAATTAATACTTTAAAATGTCCATACCACCCAAAACAATCTAGAGATTCAATGAAATCTCTATCACAATTCCAATGGTATTTTTCACAGAAATAGAATAAACAATTTTTAAATTGGTATGGAACCATAAAAGACCCTGAATAGCCAAAGCAATCTTGAGAGAAAGGAGAACAAAGTAAGAGGCATCATATTCCTTGATTTCAAACTGTATTACAAAGCTATCATAATTAAAACAGTATGGTGTTGAGGTGCCTGGGTGGTTCAGTCGGTTGGGCATCCGACTTCAGCTCAGGTCATGATCTCACAGTCCGTGAGTTCTAGCCCTGCTTCGGGCTCTGTGCTGACAGCTCAGAGCCTGGAGCCTGCTTCCAATTCTGTGTCTCCCCCTCTCTTTGCCCCTTCCCTGCTCAAGCTCTGTCTCTGTCTCAAAAATAAATAAAAACATTAAAAAAAATTAAAAAACACTATGGTGTTGGCAAAAGAAACAAGCACATAGATCATTGGAACACAATACAGTCCAGAGATAAACCCATATGTGTATGGCCAATTGGCGTACAACATAGGAGCCAAGAATATACAATGAGGAAAGGACACTTTCTTCAATAAACAGTGCTGAGAAACCCAGACAGTGACATGTAAGAGAAAAAAACTGGACCACTACCTTACACCATATACAAAAATTAACTCCAAGTGGATTAAATGCTTGAACACAAGACCTGAAACCATAAAACTCCTGGAAGAAAATATAGGCAGTAAGCTCCTTGACATGGATCTTGGCAATAATGCTTTAACCAAAGGTAAAGCAACAAAAGCAAAAATAAACAAGTGGGACTACATCAAACCAAAAAACTTCTACACAGCAAAGGAAACTATTAGCAAAATGAAAAGGCAGGCTACTGAATGGGAGAAAATAACTGCAAATTATATATCTGATAAGAAGCTAATATCCAGGAGCACCTGGGTGGCTCAGTCAATTAAGCATCCAACTCTTGATTTCAGCTCAGGTCATGATCTTACAGTTCCTGGGATTGAGCCCCACAAGAGGCTTCATGCTGACAGCACAGAGTCTGCTTGGGATTCTTTCCCTCTGTCCCTCCCTCACACACACACACACACACACACACACACACAGTCTCTCTCTCTCTCTCTAAAAACAAATAAATAAACATATAAAAAAGAAGCTAATACCCAAAACATATGAAGAATTCATACAACTCAATGGTAAAAAACAAACAAACAAACAAACAAACAAACAAGTAATCAAATTAAAAGTGGGCAGATCTGAAAGGACATTTTTTTAAAAGAAGACATATAGATAGATGGTCAACAGTTCTATGAAAAGATGCTAAACATCAATAACCACCTGGGAATTACAATTCAAAACCACAGTGAAATATCACCTCACACCATTCAGAATGGGTAACATCAAAAGGACAAGAAATAACAAGTGTTGGTGAAATTGTGGAGAAAAGGAAACCTTTGCACACTGTTGGTGGAATGTAAATTGGTCCAACTCTTAAGTGTGTAGGTTCCTCAAAAAATTGAAAATAGAACTACCTTATGATCTAGAAATTCCATGTCTGGCTATTTATCTGAAGAAAACAAAAATGCTACTTTGAAAAGATATCTGTACCTCCATGTTCACTGCAGCCTCATTTACCATAGCCATGAGATGGAAACAATCTAAGTGTCCATCAATGGATGAATGAATAAAAGAAATTGTGATGTGTGATGTGTGTGTGTGTGTGTGTGTGTGTGTGTGTAATATTATTAATCCATAAAAAATAATGAAACCTTGCCATTTGTGACAAAATGGATGGACCTTAAGAGCATTATGCTAAGTGAAATAAGTCAGAGAAACACAAATACCATATGATCTCTCTTATATGTGGAATTGAAAGAAAGAAAGAAAGAAAGAAAGAAAGAAAGAAAGAAAGAAAAAAGAAAAAGACAAGAAAAAAGAAAAGAGAAAATAGAAAAGAAAAAAGAAAATCCAACTCAATTTGGTGATTGAGTGGGGAGTGGGGAGGTAAGGGAGAACAGATGAAATAGCTTTGGGTTGTTTTTGTTTTTTTTTTTTTAACTTAAAAAAAAAATAAATGAAACAAGTGTTAGAGACCCGACATGTGCCTAAACTTCCCAGCAATCAGGACAAAAATACAAATTAAAGAGATAAAAGGTTAAATGCATTAATCTCTTCACCCTGGGTTCCAAAGGCTGAAGTTGGGAATTTAGGTGAGCAGGGGATACTGTGGAATGTCCTTAATTATTTATCATCAGAGATGTGCTTACTGCACATGACTACCTCTGCGACATGATACACACCATATTTCTATATTATATGTAGTCAGTTCTCATTATTCCCATTAGTTATGTTCTATAAAGCTGCCACAAACACCAAATACTGGCAGCAAATACTGAACCATTGTTCCTAGGGGAAATACAAGGTTAGGTTCCTATGAGCTTCTGGTCACAACATTTTCATCAACCAATCAATACATAACCTTGTAAAAACCTAATAATAGCAAATGATGATATGCATTTAACATGTGACAGGAACACCTGTAAGCATTTTATACTTGTTAACTCATATAAACCTTACAATAACTCTAGGAGCCAAGTACTATGATTGTCATCATTTTAATAAAGATGTTAAATAATCTGCCTAAGATCATGCAGCAAGGATATAATTCAGGCAGTCTGGCTCCAAATTTTAGTTTTACACCCAGTACACTATACAGCAGATATTCTATAGGTATTTCAAATTCGGCATTACCAAAACTGCGCTTTAATCTGCCACAACCTCATTAAAACAAAAATATCTTACTGTACTTCCTATATATTTCCTCCTTGTTAATAATTTCAACATTCACATAATACCCAAATGAAGAAGTCTTGGAACTATCCAATCTCCTAACCTCACTGATTCCCCATGTGAGATCTGTCCTCAGATTGTGTCAATTATCCTTCTAAATGATTCCCCTAACTCCCCCATTCGTCTCCACCCCCCACTGCCCAAATCAACATCTTCTTCTGTAAGTTTTAAACTGACTCCCTGTTTCCTATCCCTTACAACTGTGATTCATCCTCCCAACGCCCAAAATAATGTTTGTAAAATGCAAATATGATTATTATACATGTTGCTTAAAACTCTTCAAAGGTTGCCGATAAGATAAAATCAAAATGTTCGTGTAACAGACAACGTCCCTTGATACAGTCCCTGACTACTATGTCCCTTGTCTCCTGTTCCTACCCAGTGTGCTAATATCTATCCACACCAAATTACTTGCCCATCTGTTTCTTGCCTCCCTGCCACTGCACATCCTAGACACGTTTTTTTTCGACTTTAAATGTCCTCCTTCCTTTTCCCCTTTCAATTCCCAGTCACCTAGAAAATTCTTATTTACCCTTCAAAATCCAGCCCTAATGTCCCTTCTTCTGGTAACACTCCTTGACACCTTCCCCAGGAAGACTTGATTACCTCATTTTTCATCAGTGTATAGAATGCTGACTCGGCACTCATCACAACGCGATCACATTTCACATCTCCATCTCCCTTGTTTATTAGTGGCTCCTAGAGGACAGAAAGTGGACCTTGTTTATCATTGTATTCCCAGTGCCTGGCATGTCATAGATGCCCAGTGAATGCTTGTTGAATGAACAAATGAGTGACTGAATAGAACCACAATACACAGTGACATTTGACATATAGGAAATAAAGAAGAGGCAAAATTTACAGCATCTATCCTACAAACCATTTACAATAGTAGACAAATGAACAGAAATGAGGAAATTGGGAGGCACAGGAACCAGGAAACCAGCTTAAGGTGAGTAAAGAAAATGATGGATTTGGGTTTGAACAGGTTGGATTGTATATGTACCATTAAGTGGTTAGAAAAACAAGATCAGAAAATAGATGAGAGTTCTAGGTTAAAATTATAGGTTTGAGAATTTAAAAAGAAGAGATTTTTTTTTTTTACCAACAGAAGAGTTTTCCAGTTATGTAAGAGGAGAATGAACAATTTTACCTACTTTCTCTCTTTTTTTAAGTTTATTTATTTTGAGAGAGAGAGAGAGAGAGAGAGAGCACATGCACAAGTGAGGAAGGGGCAGAGAGAAAGAGGGAGAGAGAGAATCCCAAGAAAGACAATCTGATAGCACAGAGTCTGATGAGGGGCTCGATCTCATGAACTGTGAGATCAGACCTGAGTCGAAATCAAGAGTCGGATGCTTAACCAACTGAACCACTCAGGTGCCCCTTTACTGACCCTTTTCTAAAAGGAAAATGTTAAAGGACTCTCTAAACATGGTTTATAACAATAATCACAAAAGTCATATTTAACAGAACCATAAAATAGTTTATCATAATTTTTTTTTCCAATTGGTCCTTCTGTTTTTATCTCTACTATCATAATCCTTTAAGAAGGGAGATACAAAAAGAAAATTATGAAAGGGTCATCCCGAAAGCACTTTTCTTAGAATAGGACCCAACCAAAAGCAGAAACCTCTAGGAGTGATTAGGGTCAGGCCACTGCTTCTTCCTTAGAATTGTCCCTCACAGCTGTTCTCAGCCCTACCCTGACAGTCACCTCTGAACACTTCCTCACTGACCTCAGTAAACAGTAGGATAGAGAAAAACTGCCCATTTCATGTCCCTGCTTTCCATTTTATCGGCCTTAAGAACTAATGAAGTATTATATTGATGTTGTACAGATGTTGCTTATATCTAAATGATGCCAAAATGACATGTAAAAAGGCAGAAAGCAAAAAGCGTATAATCAGTTGATGATATATAAGCCAACTCAGCAGGTGAGGCATAAATAATTGGTTATTACAATTACACTATGCCAAATATCTTGTGTGATTTTTTTCTTTCTGAATTCACTGCTGGCTGTGTGGGCGTACCATGCAGACACAATCTGTGACTGACAGAGGAAATGTGATTTGCAACAACATAGCCAGCCCGAACCAGCAAAATCAACAAGAATATATGATGCTTACTTCCCGTCTAACCCAATATAGGTGGGGCCCTGGAAAATGTTTGAGACCAGAAAACACCTATCCCCTGGGACTTTTTTTTTTTTTTAATGTTTATTTTTGAGAGAGACAGAGAGAGACAGAGAGCGAGCAGGGGGAGGGACAGAGAGGAGACATAGAATCCAGAGCAGGCTCCAGGCTCTGAGCTGTCAGCACAGAGCCCAAAGTGGGACTTGAACTCAAAACCGTGAGATCATGACCAGAGCCGAAGTTGATGCTTAACCGACTGAGCCATCCAGGCGCCCCTCCCCTGGGACTTTTATATAAATTCACCACAGTGGGCAGAGTAGTGCCAATGCTGGTTTTGTGGTTGACACTATCCCCAGGCTGCTATACTTGGCTTACAGCTTCCTGAATCTCTTCGTTAACAGTCAGTCTTCAAACCACTTCCAAAGAAACTACTCTATTAAAGGTAAGGTACTGCTCTGGTCTCCAGGACTGATTATGGCCCTATCGTATTGGGCGTGAAGTCCCGGATCCTCATTCTCACGTTTTTAAAGCATTTCATACTGGTCTGCCCTCCTCCCTCTCGCCTGCCTTTTGAATGGGAACATCCTGGGTTCTAACGCCAGAAACACTCGATTCCACGCTGAGGAAGGAACCTATGCCTGGACCCTCCCCAGACTCTCCTGGCCTTGACATCTACACCAGGCAGACAACGGTGGCAGGCGGACCTGGGTTTGTGATCTTACACAAGTTACTCAACTTCTAAGACATGTTCTTACCTAAAAAAAAGAAAAGGAATTATAAGAACCTTCTAATGGATTCGGCCTGAGGACGAAGTAAGGGCACGTCAGTACAGCAATCACTACAGCACCTGAACCCTGGTGATATTCCATGAAGGTTTGTCCCCGCTTTTCCTCCATGCAGTTTCATCTGGCTTGGGGATCCTCTTGATCCACGGCACTCCACTCAGCACCCTCACTCTGGCTGCAAAGCCCACACAGGACAGTCTCAATTCCCAGGTTTCTATTATACTCACCTCCTACGTGTGTCAAAAAATAAGTGTAGAGACTTCATTTGAGGGAGTTGACAACTGCTCCAGTCAAAATTAAACTATATTTTCAGTATAGTGATGAATCATCTTCTCGTGTATACTCTTAAATATTTATTTGCGAGAGCGACTGGGGAAAGGGCAGTCTGCACTGTGAGCACAGAGCCCTACAGAGGGATCGATCCCATGAACCATGAAATCATGACTTGAGCCGAGGTAGGGGGGCTTAACCGACTGAGCCACCCAGGTGCTCACGTATACTTTTATACCCTCTCACGTGTACTTTTAAGTGCTCACTGGACTGAGTATGTTTGCGTGACATTTTCACTTGTATATTTCTTTGTTTTAAAAAATAGGCTTTGAATATATGTGTATATATGTTAATGTATATCATATATACCCATCAATAAATGTGACTATGTGTACTTAATTGCAGAAATGCTTAATAAATTATTGATGCTGTGCCAGGCATTAGGCAGAAGTAGCTTATTTAATTCTCAAGATAACCTTCTGAGAGAAGTACAATTATGACTCCTATTTTACAGATGAAGAAACTGAGACTTAAGGACGTTAGGTAACTTAACCAAGGTCACACAGCTAATAAGTAAATATTAGCGCACTCAAAATTGCTAAACAACTAACTGCATTTATGAAGCTTTTGTTTCATTTTCACTGGAAGCATAGAAGCTGTGCTTTAAGTGCGTTTAACTCCGAATGAAGCGCACTATTGAGCTCCGCGTCGAAGATAAACAGGACAGGTGTTACTTTAAGAGACCACTGGAGGTTGTAACCCGAAGCCTCCTCCAGCGCTGGCCAGAGTGGTCTGGGAGGCTGCACCCAGCCGGTGCGCGTCTGTAAACTCCCGCGGGTCTGGCGCGTCTCTTTCTTCCAAAGTTGGAGCTCTCCTTGGTGGGAGGGGGTGGGGACGCGGGTAGGCCAGTGACGTCACTCGGGAGCGGGGATAAAGCTCCCCGGCCGCAATCGGGGCGAGGGCACTTTCTGGGGAGCGGAGTGGCTGTCCTGCTCGGGGACACTTGCCGCGGGCAGGGCCACCCCTCGCTGCGCCCTGGTCCCTGGGAGCCAAGGCCACCACGCCAAGAGCACCATGCCCCAGAACGTGGTTCTTCCGGGCCCCGCGCCCTGGGGCTTCAGACTCTCGGGGGGCATAGACTTCAACCAGCCTTTGGTCATCACCAGGGTAGGTGTTTTCGGTTCTTTCGCTGCGAGTCGGGGGGCTGGCGTGCGGCGGGTTGCCCAGGAGCGGAGAGTGGCCAGCAAGCCCCGGGTGCGCTGGGTGTGGGTCCTCCGCTTCGGGCTCACAGTTCGAGGGGCGGCAGCAACTTGGCAAAGCAGGTGGGAGGATGCAGGGCAACTCAGGAGAATTTACAAAGTCCGCTCCTATGGTCTCTGCATCCTCTCGGTCCCCAGCAACTTTCCAGGAGAGGTGAACTGACAGCGTGATTCCCCTGGGCTCGGAGAAGGCTAGGCTGCGAGGGGTGGGGGCGTGGGGGCTTCTGCTCTCGAACCCCCGTTTCCTTTCAGCAACAAAAGAAATGAGGTCCCAGGAAGGAGGGAGGGATGACTGACATTGGCGGTGGTTCCTCAGAGCCAAACGCGCACCTGAGCGCTTTTCTCCTACGGATGAAAACTTCGGCACAGCGCTGATCGCAGGGCACAACCTGGGTCGGCCAAGTTGGAACCGCTCATATCAGCCCAGACGGGGAAAATATTATGAATGTGTTTTCCTAGGTTTCCAGGCATTTTGAATAAATATTTTCCAAAGCTGGGAATTTGGCTTAGGAATCATCACCTTATAACTCAAACTACAAAGAAAACCCGTCAGATAGTTTAGTTTACCTGATGGAAAGTCACATTCAGCCTAGTAACTCTGAAAATAATACTTTATTATCAGAGTCCAGCTTTCCTTACTTAATATTCCCTGGAGTATTGTCTAATTTGAAAAAAAAAAAAGAAAAGAAAGAGAAAGGAAATTTCGGGATTTCTGCCCTGTCAGTAAATAAGTGATTTGTCTAGTTGATTTTTTTTCTAACACAAGTGTCTGTCTTAATAGAAAATTATTACTTCAATTATCAATATAAGGTATATTAAACATAATCAAAAAGCATAAACTTTCAGAATATTATACTTATGTTTTCTTCTTTACTGCTTATAGTGTATTTTATAAACGTATACTTTATAATCTGACTTACTCCTATAGAGTTTTAAACAAGGTAATACCTTTTAAATTCTGCTTTACTTATATATCTATGAGTTTTGGGAGCCAATGTCTTTTTAAAATATCTCACAACATGTACCATATATACATACGCATACCATGGAACATTTCAAGCTTTGTTTTACATTGTTTGAAAACATATAAACACATCTGACATGTGTTTTTGTATGAGACATGAAAACTTAACATACCTCCAAAAAAGTTCCTAAGTAAATTAAGCAGAAAATGGTTCAGTGATCTGGGCCAAGCAATGAATGCCTTTTATGGATTTACCAACCAAAACGGTTTCCATTATCTCTACTAAGAA